AGTGGATATTCGTCGTGCAACCGTTTGAGCGCTGCTATCGAATCAACCAGACTCAATCGTGCTCCTTCGAACCGCGTCTCTACCGTGACCACAGACGGAATCTGAAAGCATCACAATAATTTAAGATCAATCACTTACCTACACTGACACGTTATATTATAGATAAGAGCTGTTCAATTTTTGTAAAGAAAGACGCACAATCAAGTACATAATTCGGTAATGGAATATTTTTTGAAGTCCTTACTTTATTTCTTTACAAGATCTTTCCTCCGCAAGATTTGTCGTACTTTTACTTCACCGCGAAGTAACAGTGAATAGAAGCAAAGACCGCTGGCAACCGCCGACCCGTTAAATTGTTATTCTGGTCCGAGAGTTTCTCCACTCTCCTCACGGCCCCCTTCAAACGGTCGCCCATCTTTATATGGCTCCGTCGATAATAGTTTTACGGAAAGCAGTCATTGATTAACACTACGATGCAAATCCAAATCTTTCAACGAATTTTAATCGATTTTTTTCATTTTCTGACAGCGAGAATTTTCCGTTGGTTCCTATGCGTTTTGAGCAGGGATTACGGTCAAGTGTGGTGTCCACAAAAAGCCAAGACACGAAGGTCGTGCCAAGTTTTACTGAATAGCTCGCTCGTCCATTTTATCAACTGTCGTCAAAGCGTGTGACTTTTCGGGTCCGACTGATCTCTGACATATGCGATAGCAGAACGGAAATGATTGGCGATCATCGCTCATCGCATAAGGTCTATAGTACAAAGTCCCTCTACAACGTGCAGGAAAATAGCAGCGATCGCAAGGGATTAGTGGAGAAATAAAGAGAAAACCAAGGCCACGGTACAGAGTGATTTGTTTGTACGCCTCATGACTTCTATATGAAACACCACATAGATCATTCACCAACTCGTACTCCACAAGCCCCTGAATCTTCCCAATTACAGTGTTTTCTTTCCACGACCACCACTATTCAGTGAGAAGATAAGGCGAACGACTTGCATGCCTTCCGTGACAAAATTTCAATATGGGAAAGTAATCAGGTGTCTTGGTTGGTCTGATTCCTTTCTGGGCAAGGGAGCCTTAGAAGAGAATCAGACCAACCAAGACACCTGAATACAGGTTCGTACGCAGTGGGTCGAGAAGTCCGCGATGAAAGGGATCATTTCACATGTTTCAAAGAGTCGTACGGCGGAGTCGAAAGGGTTGCTAACACATTAGCGTACGGGTTTTCCAAACTCGTCAGCATTGATCTATTTGGCATTTTTTTCAGGACATCTTGTGTACATTTTCGGATTCGGAAAACAACATTATTATAGATAAATGTTAGACAGATTCTCTCAGCTTAAAATAGCAACTACATTGAATGTAAACATCGTGACGCGAATGCGTCCCGCATATTTCGCCAGCTAAACGATCGGTGCACCTGAAAAGTTGTTTGGCGCATCGCATTCCATTAACTTGCCCATAATATATAACCTTAATTGTGAAGTAGCACAATCTACAGTATAAAATAAGAATGATGACAGTTTTGGAAAAAAAATCAAAATGATGGCAAGATTCACGCACAACTGGCTACGCTGTCAAGGTATAGTCATAGATGAACAGGAATATGGTCATGGCGGTGGGATTTATGAAATCGCTCAATTTTTGAGAAACTTTTTAAAAGAGTTTCAGCAGAGTTTCCAACGTGCGACCAGGTTCAACCAAAACGGCCCTAGGATGAACCATATCAAATACACCTTTTGAAAGTCCGCCGTAACTCCGAAAATTTAGCTAACGCGATGGATGACCCTGTTCCCTATGAAGTATCAATAAATGAAACTATATGCGTAGCCAGCCTGCCCCTCTCTGGCACTTTAACGTTCTGAAAAATTCTTGATACAACCCATTTTTTACCCGGGAATAACTCATAATCAAGTGGCAAGCGGCTCCCATTTTAATAAGAATCCAGTATCCAAGTCCACAGCGATTCTTTCTTTGCCCATTTCTGTCAATCCATCAGACGTGCTGAAACGCAATTCCTGCGTACTTTTTTGCAAAAAGATGTCACTTGTAACGAAGACAGCCGTTATCGCAAGGGCGGGGCGCACTGGTGGTCACGCTGTCGGGAATGAGCGGAAAGAAAAATCGCCGTCGTGAACCTTGAACCGTCAGCTAAAGGTCACTCCAGGCGAGTACGACAGCACTCCTAATCAGAGATGTATTAGGGAAATATTTAGTCTTCGTCTCCGCACTAAATGGAGGTCAAACAATTGAATAACTCTAAATGTAGTTTTGTAGCCAAATACGAAATTTGCGAATCGTGTGAGTACGTGAATAGTAAAAAAAATTTCGCTCTTCGTTATCGAGATCGACAAACTCGCGTACTCCAAACGGTCGAAAATCAGACTGGAAGCAAAAAAGTTACGCACTGGTGATGACCTTATATAAACCAAGTTTCAAGCCGACCATAGACCTTTTTGATTCCTTGATCTTCATCGCGAATAAATTCCACTTGCGTTGAAACGAGTTGTTCCGAAACTTCACGCAACTCTCAGTGTGATAGCATTTAGGGACTGAGTTAATATCTTTTGACCATACACAAATTTTCTGCTCCCCCCTCTCCTCCGATTCCATGAAGCTGATAAATCATCCAACACCCTTCCATCTCCCCTCGGGGGGCCAGATTCGGATACGGATCTAAAATTAATCGGTGCGGAAAAGAAGAATATGAAAACTGTTGTAACACCAAAATTTACAATATTCCTGAAATTTCTCCAACTTTACTCGCACAAAATTTCTCAAATTGTCCCAAGATATTTTTCCCATGTGCCCCAAAAATATCATGCCACTTCCCTAAATACAACCTCTCTAGAATAAGTATAATGTTCTCCTACCCCTTTATTGTTTTACGAACATGCGGCCATGAGGTGTAAGGGATTGAACTATGCAAGCAAATATGAGACTCTGCAACCAGAAATTGGGGATTCTAAACCGCTTCGCTTACGTTCCTCTCAACCACAGAACCGTTCCAGAGCGGCAAAACATGGTAGCATCCTTGAAGAGACCAGAGATAATTCTAATGAATAGAAGGTAAACCCATCTTTCAATCTCTTTAGGATCTTGTTCCTCATTGCAAGGTTTCTTTTGATGTTTGGTAACAGTAGGACGAAATTCGAAAGTAAACGCAACCTGAAAAAAAATGCGCAAAAATTTCAATGATTACTTTCTCAAGATGTGGCCAAACAGTGCCGTTGATAACCAAAGGTTCCTTCCAGATCATTGCACCAATATGACGCTGATCATGGAGCACGGCCGTTGCTGAATTCGCCACGGTTTCGTCAAAATCTAAAAAAAATTCAATCAATCATGTCAAAGCATTCCGTGGCTACGTAACGGACTTATCAAGGCAATCTCGCCAATTTAATGTTGCAAAGGGCGATACAAACCTGTTTGTTAGGATTTTTGCAAAGGTTAGTTCCCGGTTGTACACGGCTATGTGAACGCAGGAATTCACTTGGAAAGTCGGCTCGAAGAAACGGTGGCCATTCGAGTGAAACACAGTTGCCAGACAAATCGACTTTCTAAAAATTAACAAAAATAGTGAGGTTCCATCAAATCAAAATAATTCAAAGTATAAAAAGTTTACTATACACATTGTAAGCGAAATTAATCTTCTAAGGCTTAACCCCCTCGCCTCCGTGAAAAAATAAATATGCGAAAAAATTTGAAAGATATGGAAGCGTGTGACGAGGCGTCTTGTGCACGAAAGATTGTCTCTTAATCTGACTAGGTCAGCATCCGCTCGCGCGTTGACCATATCTGCCGCATCGGCTAATCTTCTGTGCTTCTTGCGCCTTGAATCTTCACTCTCCTCGCTACCCATTACCTCCTATCTTTTATCTCGCCTGCCGACCTCTTCGACTTCTTCACAGCACAGAAGGAGAAAGCCGGTAATTTCCAATGGCTCTATTGTTTCTTTCGTTTTTTTTATGTTGACTGGCGATCCACATCTTTCGCCCCATCATGCTTTAATATTCGAGCGGAATTACCTATGTAACCTGGTCGTGGCTTTCGAAGCAATCCTTTTAAGACAGCTTTAATGTCTTCACATTCTATCATATTTTTATTATGCTACTATCCTCTATTACATTCTATTTTTATATTATTTAATTTCCTTCATATTTCGGGTCCAAAAAACCTTTCAATAAGTAACCCTCCTAAATGTGGCAAGCATTAAGAATGCAGTAATGATGAAAAACGAATGCTAAAGCCAGTTAACGGGTCAGGTACGTGCAGCATCAACTGATCACCGTATTTCACGTGCAACGCCACGTGGAATCGTGGGATTCTGACTATTTATCACTACCTAACTAACACAGAATCTAGAAAGCTTATGTAGAGAAGTTCTCCATCCTCATTCCTACGTACTGAAGCATAGAGAACCTTCTAATGAACCGACTTAGGATCATAGCCTATCTTCGTTGAGAAAAAAAGATCAAGACTTCGCCACCCCTTTGTCATAGCATCAAAATATGAGTCCACGCGCATTAGAATACCGTAAGAGAGATCCTGAATGAAAGATCCGAGAAACTTACCACAAACCTTGTCGTGGTAAGACAAGGTTATGAGTCGCTGGCCAGCATAGTAAGAGTTATTACGCAACCAGACGTTACTGAATTTTGCTCGCATTCCGTCTGTCCATTCGACGTTTAGACCACGAGGAAGGCGTTGAGCCGACTTGATCGCAATCATCTGAAACTGCAGCAGAAGATGAATTCAGGAGCGAGCACGAAAACAGCTGTAACCGATGAAATGGCGTGTGATTATGGGAGGGGAAAACTGGAGGGAGGAGAGAGCACAGAGAATGATCAGAACAAAGAAACAACAATCAAAACGACATAAGATATTATCGAACTATCAGCATGTCATAAAAGTCGTTCTTCAGTTGCCAGGAGATTGCCGGGGAAACCCCCTTGGACTGCATGCCTGCCCGTCGCCGTCATATCAGCGATAACACATCTATTCATTCAGCAAACCGCAACCAACCACCACCACTCCTACCTACTCTCAGTACTCACTGCTTACACTGACATCGATTCACGTCAGAGCACCAATTTCATAATGAAACTGAACAGACGTGATCTACATGGTATTTATAGCCCCTTGTCAGTACGCATGATATCAATGGAAATAAAGGGCAACAGAGGGCTCCTACTTAAGGGCAAAGTCCAACATACAGGCGTTCTTTTGTTTAGTTCCAAAGTTTAAGAACGGTGATAACACAGTAGCAAGGCGCCTTGTAAACTGGAGACCAGTGAAGATGTGATTTCCATTCAATTGTTCGTGTCGACTAACATCAACAGCAACAGTTGACGAGGAGTTTCTGATGGCGTAACCATTTTCTCTTGGCCAAAAAAAACCGATTGATTAATCAACTTTTAAAAACCAACCCCCAGCATTTACGAAAATGTTCAGGTTCAGTACCTTGACCCTCTGCAACATTGCTGAAGTAAAGAAATAAACTCTCTAAAACTTACCCTCTTTGACTCCACAATCAGAGCTATAAAAGATTATACTGCAATTAAATAAAGAGGTGTTTGAGGGAAGATGCTCCACCAATGTTTGAATAAAACGCGCTTTGATTCCATTTCGAAATGTCCACGCATCCTACTGTCCATGCACAATCGTAACATTTTTGAATTCTCTAACCTATACGATACTTGAAGCAGCCAATCACATGGTAGGTGTTCATTTGCATCATAACTTTCGAACAAGCGTACCGAAGATACAGCTAGTTAATTTACACGGCATACGATCCAGAATTTGAACCCGAAGCATGCGCGTGGTAAGCAGCATCATTTTGCCACTACACCACTTCCGCCTTGACCTTTGGTGGGGCAGAGTAATATTGTAAAGAGACAGAAGCCCTTCCTAAGAGACGAAAAATGACCGAGAAGTTGAATCGGCAGTTTTTATTAAAGGATTAAAGGAATCTTCCACGGAAAGAGTGATCATTTTGTCTTGTGTGTAGGATTAGTATTATCGAAACTAACGCTTATGTTCCGTTCTTTTTGCTATGCTCATGAGGCTAGGGGCCTAAGGTATCGTTTTTCTGTGGTAATGGAGGCGGAGCTTTTTCCGTGGAAGATTCCTTTAACCGACTTTTCGAATGAACAAGGGGTTGAGATGGAAAAATGTTCAAAGCAAACGAAGTTTGGACTGTTTGAAAAGCCATGAGCATCACTCATCTGCTCTATGAAGCGAAGAGAAGAATAAGTCTATCAAATGCGTAGTTCTGGATCTCGTGCCAGAGGTTGAGGTCAAGTGCAAACCCTGCGGGCAGCGAAGTAGGGCAAACGGGATGGATCTATTATGTAATAGTTTTTTTTTCAACAATCTCGGTAATTAGGTGTAATCCTAGAACCACTTCCTCCCACACAAATATTTCCTAGCAGAAACCTTATTAAATAATAAAAATATCACAAAGAATTGGTGAAGGAATACATATACAAAATAAAGAACAATAGCACCACGGCGATAGGTTGACCTTCAAGCGATCTACGATTGAGCTACCGGCGAGCGCTACAGTTCCGGGTGCCAGCGGAAAACGTGCGATCACGAGTTTCACGCTCAATTAAAGAATCTACCCGCAGAGATGATCGAAAACGACATATGCAGAGTATGACCTGAACTGAAAATCGTTAGCGAATACTCGCGGTATTCATCGAATTACCTTTTGAACCCAAGTGAACTGAGGGCAAGACGGACGGGCGTGATAAGGAGCGATTTGGGTGTGGTCAAATGTGCTCGAGTTAAGCAGAATTTTATATGGGAGCAAAAAGATCTATGACCAAAGAAATGGATAAACTGAGCAGAAGCCTAACTGGCAAGTTGAAAGGGTGGGAGATTATAGGAGGAGGCTGGGTCTAGGAGTAATCCCAAACTTTCTAGACTTATGCGCCTGAGCTTGACAGACAAATTCTATTAGTAGATCTCAGGAGTAAACTACATTGTTGATGAGGGACCAACTTGACCTTCGTGAGATCAAATTACAGCAAGTAGCCTTTCAAATCCCGAAACCTGAGATGTGACTTCTGAAGTGATTTTACGCCTGGAGTTTACTAGGTCACAAAATTCAAGGAGTGAGTTTACAACATTGAAGAACGATTCTATTCAGCAGCAATGCCTACAAACCTCGTTTTCTATTTCCAAGGCCGCGAACGCTGCAGTGCAGAGGGGAAGTGGCGGGGGGGGGGGGGAAGAGGAAGGGGAGAGATCAATCTAACCCCTGAAGACTTTTAATCTGATCCCATCCTAGATTACCCAAAGATTTGCCTTTTTTGATTTCACAGCTGTTTTAGTGCAGGTTAGAAAATGTAAGAAGCCAATTCAATGCGGATTGAGCCTTGCATTTAACCCTGCATAGGCCACTCTTTCAAATATCTCTATAGCCCTAGAAGAAGGATAAATATGGCTCACTGAGACTAAACAAAGATCAGTAAAATCGAAATTTAATCTCACTTTCTCCTTTAGTGGCTCGCAGCCGAGCGAACAATGAGTGCTGACGATGCACCCAGCAATCAGTGACACAATACACACTCTGAGCACCCCCTATCAGGGTAGCACGGCATAGTGGGGCTAATATAGCAATGCCGAGTGTGCGGAAAAGCGCTGCCCCGCAATGAACCCGATTGGACGCTGCTGTGATGGTTCACGTGAATCCGCCGTGCACGTGTACACAGCTGGAGAAAAGGTACAACTATTGTTGTGATGTCTACGTGATTGATTATTGCCGACAAACAGAGTGCGACTGATACCTGCTGGCGTCTGGGACACGATAAATTCTCGACTTATCTGCAAAAATCCCTGTGGTAAAATTTGACTTGAATAGAAGCCTAGAAGTTACACCGGTCCAAAGTTTGAGCAGACTTTGTCATGAACCCGGATGTTTACACCTATTGGCGCTGTTGTTTTGTTGAGTAATCTACTTGGCCAGCGCTGAATGTTGATTAATGGTACGGGATTCTGCAACAACACTCAATAAAAATCAACAGTAGCTTGCGATCAAAGTGAACCTTGGCCAGGTTGCTTACTGGTACAGGTCACTTATGGGATTGAGGGGGTGGGTAGGTTTGGTGGTACCAACCAGAGCAGAGGCAAATCAGGCTCCTTTTACAGAAGCATCGGTTAGTTTTCACTAGAACCTGATGAAGACGAAGGGAAGACTTGCCATTTAGATTCGCGAAGTAAAATACACCTGGAGCAGACAAAGACTGAGCGTACTTCCTCCCTCCCCTACTCCCCATTCCTGCCCCTATCAGATCACTTTTGGCCCTGATAATGGAGCTGAAAGGAAGATTAGATGCGGTCGAAGCATCTGCTGATATGGAAAACTAAACGAAGAGAGAACATTTCAATGTAGGCATGATTATAAGTGCTGTGATAAAGTAGTCATTACATCCCTTCAGTAAACAATTGGTGAAACGCGACTGGCCGGTTATCAAACGGGGGAATCCCGTCCGATGATAAATTCAGCCAGCTGACATGTCAGTCAAACCACCCAACGACGAAGAGATTAGTCTGAGGTACTAAAGAACATGGAACACTGCAGTACACAGAGTTTCCTTGTTTTTGAAAAGGAGGTATTGGGTTGAGCAAAAATTATACGCCGTTTTTTTTTCAGGACTCATGGCTCTTTGATTGTTTGCTGATTATTTCCAAAGTTATGGATTGCCCCTGGTACCTGAGGGCAAGTTGAGCTCGAAACCGAATGCTTCTGCATCTGCTCGTAGAATCAATGAAGCCTGGGATGAAGGCACTGCAGAGAGGACTGTTCGAGAGCGTTTGTTGATTACGCATTTATTGTTGTTTTTGTTGGT